TTTATTAGCACCAGTTCATTAGTCGTTATCTGTAATTACGTAATCATTAGCACTTCGATCCTATTTAATGCTCTTTTTTTATTTCAAAAGTTGTAAATAACTGAAGAAGGTCTCTGACCGAAACGTTTTTTATTAAAATTTTTTATATTTTTTACGTCAGAAGTTGTCCATCCTCGCAATTTTTTAAACTTTCTACGTTCGTGTTGGCTGTGAGGTTTGGACTGCGAATCTTTATTGATCCTCCTGGCGCGGTGCACCTTTGTTGGCCTGAGAGTTTCATTAACGACTCCCTATATATATATACATATATTACGATCTAACCATATGGAAAGTAATGAAGGTCTTTGCTCAGAAAAAAAGTTCAATCTGTTTCGTTTCCTGATACTTTGTTAACATGGCAAACAAAAAACAGCTTTAACAACAAAAGACGGCCTTGTGGGACGGGTACATTACGAGACGTTGAATAAACGGGTTCAGCTTTCACCAAGAGAGAACACCTCAGAAAGACAATTTCAGTCAAAAATTCCACCCCTTTTCTAATATTTATTTTGACATTAGAATTGAAATCTTGAAGTTCTTGAAGTGGAGAATACACTATTAGACAATTTTTCCAAGTTGACACTACTTTCTGGCAAACTTGAGCGAGAAAATTGTCTGAATCAACAGGTGATGTATTGAAGCGTCCGCTAAACACCAGTTCTGTCAAATCTAGTGAATTTTCTTCGAGGAATCACTCGGTCGTCATTAATATTCTTCAGTTTTTGTATACATTTTATCTAATTACGACTGGCCTTTCAGTGACATGAGTATACCTAACCGATCAAAGTTATACTTTTTCCTATGAAAAGGTTACTCATTTTACAAAGTCTATATTACTTTAATAGATATCAAAAGCTAGAAGTGATAAATGATCAAAAATAAGTCAGTCATAGGCCTTGTAAATTATAAATTTCAAGAGTTCGCTCTATCACGTACCTTTCTTCTTTGGTAACGCTTCGACCACTGCCACGAGTATAACTAAAAGAAGTACGCTATTTGAGGTCATCTTTCAGACGAAGAAATCAAGGCTAGAAAAACAAACCAGTAAGATTTGCCTGAGTCTTCGTAACTTTTAAATCATTAATTGTGTTAAACCGTGATTCGTGCTTTCCTTGAATGGCCACTCAGCTGGAAGTGCTCCAGATTGTCTCTTTCTAAAGTGGGCGGGAGGGAAGTTCAGTTTAAGGAAGAGCAGACTAAATAGGGGTAGCTCTTTGAAACGTGATTAAAAAGGAAGACTTTTAACATTACTTTCCGTCACCACAATCAACTATCGTCTTTTCACATTTACTGTCGTATTGAATTCAAGAGTCCCAGCGCCATAAAACAGTTGCCTGAATTAATATATATCAGTATTACTCAGATTAAAGTTCATGCCATGATTGTTCCTAGATTATTTTCCTGTTATTGTTTTGTATTTTGTATGATACAGTGTCAGATAAGGAAGCTGTCTTCTTTAGCTTGGATCCATTTTCTCTTTTTTTTTTTTTTGTAATGTGAGCGAAAATTTTTCCCATTGAAAATTCTTCAGATTTCCGCGCTCCACACGCAAAAAAAGATTGTTCCTGGCTGGATCCATGTATACAGCGGATTCGTTTAAAAGTGTCATCTTGCTTCGTCACATCTATATCATGACACGAGCAACACAGAAACCAAAGATCTAACAAAGTTGGATATTTTTACTTACTGAATATTTCGAGAATGTCAGCAATTTCTACATGCCAATGGATTTATTTCCCAAATTATCATTGTAATCATCCTCGTGGTTAAAGGCTGATAGTTTCTAAAGAAACTGTTTGGGGCTGCGTCGGTGGGGGTAACGAAATAATTTGGATATATCAACAAAGTTGAAATGGTAAATTGGCCACCGTAACGATTACATTCGCTCCGACGAAGGGCTAACGCTCGAAACGTCAGCTTTTGTAAACGTTACGGTGGCCAATTTACCATTTCAACTTTGTTGATATATCCAAATTATCCTCGTGGTTAGTTTTATACCGTTACTGTTCACTGTCCTTCAGAACTTTTAAATTTCTACTTATTTCTCCACTAATTCAAACTTTTTTTAACCCACTCAAAAAGGAGAGGTCTTTAACCAAGAACAGAAGCACGCAGTCGAGCTTCCTAAAGGTTGATCTCATATCATCAATCATCGTAACATCTCGCATATATCTCGTATCCGCAGTAGAGCTTTCATCAGAAAATCGGCACATGTTTATCATAAATCTTCAAGTCCACTTCCTGTATTTATAAGTATTATTTTATCAATACACTACGCGCATCTGAGAAGTAAGAAGCATTTTTTTGATTGGCTGGCATCAAGGGAAAACCATTGCTCTTTACAGCCTTGGTACTTATCAACTTGAGAAGTTTTTTCAAAATGTAAAATCCTGCTAAAACGTCAAGAAATGTCACTGTTCAAAACGGTACGTAGACTCGTATACTATGTATGATACTTACTTAGTCACATTACTCTCCACAAACAACCATTATTTTGAAAAATATTGTTTTGACAATTTCATTACGTACCTAATCTTCGACTAAGAAGGATATATGAATTTTACCATAGCCATTTGTTCCCAATGAAACATCATGTGTTTTAAAGGTAAGGATAGTTTACTGGACTCAGCGAGCAAACATTAACTATGCTGTTGGAAAGTGCTTTAGAGATCTTCATTTCTCACTAATGAGTCGAAGCTGTCGAATCTATCAACCTTTCCATTTTTCATAACCAAAATCATGTCACAGTCTTTTAAGGTGTTCAGTCGATGAGCAATAGTTATTACTGTGGAGTTCTTCAGTTTCTCTCGCACGACTCTCCAGATTACTTGTTCTGTTTCTGGATCCACTTGTGCAGTAGGTTCATCCAAGATGATGACCTTTTTTTGCTGCAACAGAACACGAGCCAAACAAATTAACTGCCGTTCTCCTGCACTGAAATTTGAGCCATGTTCTAATAACTCATGGTGCAGCTGTCCTTCCAGATTTTTCACCAACTCTTTTAGTTGAACATCTTCCAAGGCTTTCCACAACTCAAAATCTTGAAATTGATTTACTAGATCAAGATTTCTTCTCAGCGATCCACTGAAAAGAACTGGATTTTGGCCAAGAACAGATATACATCGTCGAGCTTCTTGGAGGTTGATCTCCTTTATTGGAACGCCGTCGATGATGACATTCCCATCGGCATCTGGCATGCGCAGAAGAGCTGCCACCAGGGACGATTTTCCGGCTCCCGTCCTTCCTGCAACACCAAACTTGGTCCTTCCTTTCAAGTCAAGATTGATGTATTTTAGTACTTGTGGTCCTCCCGGATAGTAGGTCAAAGACACATTTTGAAATGTTACACCTCCCTCTGAGGGCCAGTTTTCTGGGGGAGGGCGTAGTACTTTGTACCCAGGTTCGCAATCAAGTTTCGCGTATGTCAAAACGCGTTCGACTGAGGTCATGGAATTCTCGACATCCGATGTTTTTCTGACAACAAACTGAGCCTGTTCCACGGTCTCGATGACATAAACAAGAGCAAGTCCAGCGAAAGCTGTTAAAGGAAAAAGACGCCGCAATAAAAGCTGGTATTTCATTTCCCAACCATAACCCCTTAACTCCCATGAGCGACTGAGACAGGATTTCTTCTTACAATATCAACACAATACCAATCAGACAAGTAATGAGAAGAAGGAAAAAGGAAAATCAGGGATTATCAGTTGATCCGATACCAAATTCTCCAAACTAACATTATCAGAACTGTAAGGCAGAGAGTAAGGAGAATTGCTAATGAGATCTTGGAAGTGAAAGGGTTAAACAGTATGTAAATATAACCTGATGTAAGCGCCCTGGAACATGGAATGCCAAGTAAGAAAAGAGTTACCGAAATTTGACTTCCTTGAACATGTTCACTTGTCTTCTTGATGCATACATTCTGGCATTACCGAAGGAGAATAAAACAATATCTGGTATATACCATTCGACACACAAAAAAAAATTCAAGTCAAAAATCAAAGATCAAATAAATAAAACATGTTTATCCTTGAAATTAAAATTGTCCTCCACACATCATCTGTTGAACGAAAGTTCGTAGTAAGAAGTCTTCAATTAATAGCTTAATTGTAACTAGATTAATCGGTTTTTTTAATCATAAGCTGTTTTATTCTGATGGTTTTACAGTGTTCTAATATTTATTAATATGACCACACCTACCAGCATCTTGGGAAACTAAAATAGCCGCTAAAGCCACAACGCCAGTCAAAATGGAGGAAAGAAGTTCAATGCGCACAGAAAGCCATCTCCCACTGGCCAACACCATGATGTAGGACTGAGTATGAACATCTTGAAATCTAGAAGTGAAATGTTCAGCAAATTCACTTGTACCTATAACTTGAGTCATCTTATTGCAAGGTGTAACCCAATAGCAATTAATCACGTCACGCTGCACGAACTGGTCGGGGTTTCCGTTAAGAGAATAGAGAGAGGCGAAAAAAAAACAAAACAAAACAAAATCAAAATTCGTCACAGTCTTTCTTCTGCTGATTTGTTTTTTTTTTTGCTCCTTTTGTGTTTTTGTTGTTTTTTGTTTTTGTTTCTGTTTTTGTTTGTTAGTTTTTTTATAAGTTTTTTTTAATCTTTTTTGCACAAAATTTTTGACACCTCTGTCAGTATGTACCGAAGTTCTCTCGTTGTCCAACAATCTACTCTCTATGGGTTGCCCAGGAGGTTGATTCTTGGCCAGACCATTGCTCCAGAAACTGCCAAGAAGACTATATTGAACGCTTAAGAAACTACTCCATATTTTATTTCTAGGTGCAAGGAAGTCACTGACGCAACGGCTCTTCCTCCTCCGCTTGGTTACATGCCCCTCTTATTTGTAGTTGACAAAAAAGCATAACACACCTGTAAAACTCTTTCTCAAAATCCCTATGTCGTCTTCCCGTTCGAATTGTCTCAAGTCCATTCAAGGTCTCCGAAATGTGAGAATACACAGGACTTCGGCATATCGACTCCAATCTTTTGAGCTGTCGGGATGTCTTCAAGTAATACCTTGAGATGTATACAACGACTACAGACAGTGGAACAACGACAAACAGAACCCAAGGATTTGTGACAATTGGCACCATAACGGATGAAAGTAGCAGCAGGAAAACCTGGACTGAGACAAGAAACGTGTCCGGCAACAGCTCGTCCAGGCAGCCAACATCCTTGGAAAATCGATTGAGAATTCTTCCAACTGGATTTGAATCAAAAAAAAAAACTGGTGCCTTTAACACCGCTGTGACCATTTTATCCTGAAGCTGTTCAGAACATCTTAAACAAGCCAAAAGAAATCCATGTGCCCTAATAAAGGCAAATACGAAGGATGCAGTCACCAGACAGCCATACGATATTAAGTTCATTTTCTCCCTCTGATTTTCAAGACGTTTTTTTGAAAAGAATGAAAGCCACACGTCAGGAGCAACAATCATACCTATGATTACAGGAATCAAAAGGAAGAATTAATACTCATTCAACAGCTCGATGAAGGAATGTTTAAAACATAGAGATCAAAGCAAAGAGATTGAAGACGACCACTTCTCAAATAACTTTGTATAAGCCTCTTAGCGGCAAAAGAAAATTGGCCGTCACAAAAAATACTTTAAATACAAATCTTACCTTGAGTAATAACACATAAAAGAGATAAAGAAAATATCGCTAACGAGTGTAATCCGCTTCTGAAATATTCCCAGTAAGTCTTCAAAGTCACCTCTCCGATTGTGCGATCTTCCTCCGAAATTACAAGGTCCTTGATATGTTTTTCTTTTGTTGTACTTTTTTCCATGACATCTGGTTTCCCTTTGTCCTTCGAAACTGAACTCAAATCCGAATCGCCGTCTCTGTGGGACTTCATGTGTAGCGGATCAAGAACTGTGCCAAGACAGCCCTTTTTCTGGAGCTCAACTAAACTTCCCTTTTCCATCATCCGTCCCTTATGTAATAGAATTACTTCATCAGCAACTTTCATATGTTCCTCTTGATGAGTTGCCAATACTCGTGTTTTGTTACCCAAGACTAGTGGGTCTAGGAGGCATCTTTGAAAAATATGTTGTCCAACTTTCATGTCCACGGCACTGAGAGGGTCATCCAATAAGTACAGGTCTGCATTCATGTATACTGCTCTTGCCATGCTTACTCTTGCACGTTGGCCTCCACTCAAAACGGCGCCCCGCTCACCTACAACTGTATGGTCACTGTTAGGAAACGTATGGAAGTCTTCCGTAAGGGAACATGCCTCAATAATTTTGGAGTACTTGGTTTCGTCGTAAGGTAGACCAAATAAAATGTTTTGTCTTATGGTTCCAGAGAAGACCCATGGTGTTTGGGAAACATGTGCAAGTGAACCTTGAAAAGTGATATCACCACTGATATCTGAAATTTCGCCAGCTATAGCCAAAAGAAGAGTAGATTTTCCACTTCCCACGGGTCCTGTGAAGACTGTTAAACTTTCTGGTGCTGCAATGAATTCTACATTCTCCAGAGTAAACTCTTCCTCCTGATCACTCTGGGAGCACGAAAGACCTGACACAAAAAGAGACTTAGACTTCTTCCAAGGTTCTTCCTCGTCACCGATAGAGGATTTGGCCGATTTGCCCTGTTCAGCTGAGAGTCTGTCCGATCTTGAGATTTCTTCTTTAAAGTTACCCTCAGAGATCCCCTGCAACTCATCTAAAAGCAGAAACTCTTCTATTCTTTGGAGTGACGCATAAGCTTCGTATGTTTGCAAGGAACCATAAGCTTGGTAATAGCAAATACTTGTTATTAGTGTATTGATATAAGGAAGAAGCATGAAGAGATTAACAGGTGTAATAGGTCGGCCAGTTAGCACCATTGTAATGACTACCACTAGAACTGTCAATGGCACAGAAGTGTACTGCAACGCGGCAACCCCTGCCAAAACAGCACTCTTCTTTCGAATGATATTCATTTCCTCGCTAAAAAGTGAAACAGATTATACAAACTCATTTCGCTGCAAACGTAATGTCAAAAGTTTGATAAGCCACTTCACTCATTTTGACAAGAAACTGAGGTATAATTCAGTTGAGCAGACTCACGCTCTTGTACGAGAGGAGAGCGAGGGAAACAGGTACCTCGATGTCTAAGTATTGTGTCTCAGCCTAGTCCACACATGTCCGACAGAATAAAGTAAGCACCTGTGTCGAAGAAAAGGGAACCTTTTTCTGCATAATCTTGCTTTATGACAGTTACATACGACTATCAAAAATCAATTAGCATAATAATGTTGTAAATTAAGTTATAATAATAATATAATAATAATAATATTTAACGAGGGAGCCCAACTCGCCATGGCGGTTTTCAGTGGGGCCCTCATAATTGCCACGACTTTGTTTGTTACTCAAATTGTGCACTCAGATTTCTTTCTCATTTACCTCCGAAGGTGTTTTATCATTTCCTGGTATTCATCCTCCCATGCGTGCGTTTTAATGGTGCGAATCCCAGAAACCGCCTGGTTCATCAAGGAAATACGCTGATCAGAAACAGCTGCTGTCCGCAGGCGCAGTGCAGCACTGACGTAGGACAGCACCCCAAAATATGGTACAAGCAAACACAGGACAATAACACCAAGAAGAGTCTGCCAACCAATGAAATACACAAGTAATACTGTTGCACCTCCGACTAGAAAGAAATCTAAAATCATAAAGTAAAAAAACTTGACAGTTTCTCCTTCCAGTCGCTGGACATCATTGGAAACCAGGTCAATAACGCGGCCTGTTGAGAATCTCAGTAATCTGTTTTTGCCAAGTAGTAGTGTCTGCAAAAGAGATGAATTGGTGTTTGATTGGACTATCAATTTGCTTTGTGATGTTTTCATTTGATTGTAATTAACTGAAGTAACTAAAATAAGTATGACCACTTATATTTACATTTGGGAAGTTAGGTTCCTTTGTTTATACTAACATTGCCACGACTTTGTTTGAATATTTTTTAAATGAAGTAATATTCATTAAGTAAATGGCTTACCTTTCGGTATATTAGCCCTTTCAGAGCGCTGCTCATTCCAATACCAAGGGTATCACATTTGTAGGAAGAGTAATGAACACTGAGTCCCCCAATCGTCGCACAGATGAGCATTGCCATCACACAACCATACAGAGACAGATTTTTCTGAGGTTCAGCTGACATCAATGAGAAAATCAGGTAACCGAGAAACAGGGGCTTAATAAGGCGCCAAACTGTGTACAAAGAGTGATCAATTACTATGATGAATGTATCTTTGAAAGACACCATCTTTAAGATGCTTCTCCAAAGTTTTGGCCTTTTCTCATTCTCTTGGCAATTAGCTTTCTCTTCATTCCATTTTGATTCCAAGAGATCTGTCAAAGAACCTGTTCTGTTTTCCCTTGAGATGGGAACAAAGTCGCTTTCTTCTAAAGTTCCATGACAACCTGACTGGAAGATACTGTTCATCCATCGAAAAAAGAGGAGAGACACAAAGCTCACACTTTCCTTTTGTTCAGTGGTGAACACTGGTTTGTATTCCCCTTTCGCCATCTCTACATCTGCAAATTAGGAGCGCCTGTGCGCATCGATCATTCAAACAAGAAAATTATCAATTCCAACAAGAGTTGAAAAGTCAAACTAACACAGCAATCAAACGTCTGCATACCTGCAAACGATGCAATGATTACGTGGAGCGTGCTTTTAGGCTGTTAGAACCAATGCAAGTTGTCTCACAGTAGTTACAAACAACCGCAAAAGCCGTAAGTCACATTGTTTTTTAAGCGCATAACTTTTTCGATAAAGCTCACAATAAAATGGTAAATCAGCAGGGCACCTGTTCTCAAACAGGCAGTGTCTTCCAAATTTCTCGATTTTTCTTCGCAACGTTTACAAATTTTTATGGACGTTTAATTTCTTTTCTCGTATTTTGCAAAGCAGAGATTCTTTCCCGTGTTATCCTTTGAACTGTTTGCGCAAACTTCTCGCGCATGCCTAACGGCTGATCGCTGTGTTCTGCTTTATCTCAATGTTTTCATGGTGACATCGAATGTTTATTATAAGATCTTTGTTATGAGATCTTACTTTTAACCGACTTCTGACAAAATTTTTCGAATTTTATCTCTCCTTTTGAAAGGTCACTTCTAGAAATTACCCTCCAGCAGAGTCACACGACTATTACAAACGTTTCATAATAGGCCGTGGAATTTTTTCCTCTTTCTAGACAACAAAGACTGAGAAAGGCCTTCTAGTACCGAATCACTATTGGAAGACTCACTTAAGGGTCATAACCACCGAAAAAAAAAAGGATTTCATGAATAGTGATTTATCTGTTGTCGACGTACAGGTTTCCCATTAACATGGTTAGATTTAGTAACGAAAAAGTTCGTCTCGTTGTCCTACTGAAATGCTTGGACTGGGTCGACGAATGATAAGTAGTATAATTCAAGAGCAGCCACGAAATAGATCCTTCTAGAATAGTGCAATCACAGGGAAAAACTTCATGTGCGGTGATTTGGAGGCATCTACTATAAGCAGTGGGAGTTGAAAAGCTTTATTCCACGCCGGCCTCTTAAACATTTGACCTTCTTAAACAAATTTTTTTCGAAACGTCACGCAATGAAAACAATGTTATGTATTGAATATGGTAGAACGATTAAGATGTAATATTTTGGGGGAGAGGAGCGCATGGCTAATGCCCCACTGCCTCTTCTTGCGACGCAAAGCGATTTCGTACTTCATCAGTTCGGAAAGCTACTGGACAAGAGCCACTTGTTTGGAACCCCCCTAACTCTTTCAGCCACGTCATTATCTCATTGCACCGCCGCTACAGCGATTAGGTGAACGTCTAAGAGAAGAACGCAATCGAGTTCGGTACCGAGCCCCCCGAAGCGCATCATTCGAATTTACGACACCGTTAAACCAAAAATAGCTGCTAGACTAGGTTTTACGGGACCTTAGAGATAACTCAGAGAAAGAACGGCATTAGTGTAGAGATGGTTCGGATCTTAGACCTTGACAATGAGATAAAAATAGAGTACGTAAGAAAAATACATTCACCACGAGATGACCTCAGGTCACTTCAAACTTTTGAAATTTTGAATCAAGCATAACAGTTGAATGCCGATTTCAAAACAACGTTCTTTTCAAGTTTGTAAAAAATGTGCTGTCGAATGAAGCCTATAAACATTGATAAAATGATACTCTGAGAGGTTAAGACTTGCTGTCTTAACTGTATTAACTGTCTTAACAATACTGCACGGGTGAAACAGTCGTAAAAGAAGAAACTCAATTAATTCATAACGACAAACATTTCACGATCAATAGCCAAGAAGTGTAAACAGCTTTCAAATACAGATGGAAAAAAAAAAAAGAGAGAGACCGCCTTATTTTATTGTTGACATCTACCTTTGTTAAAGATTAGGAAATAGGTATAAAAATTCATAGCGGTTTCGAATCAAGGACCTAATCATAAATGAATAAACAATATCTAAAGGTTCTCAATGACCATATCTCAACCCAGTGAAGGAAATATCAGAGCGTTCTTGCAATAAAAAATTTTCATACGTTGGGTTCATATGTAAGCGGAAGAATGACAATTATAACAGTTATAAATATCAGACCAAATTTCCGCTTTCTGATGAGCTCTGATCAGAAAGATGTTTCCCGAATTTGAGCTCTATCCCTCAGATATTTTCTCACACAAGAGCTGTTGAAATCAATCTCATAATGGTCGCCAAAAAATTTGTCAGAAGATTTTTATTTTGAGAATAACAACTGTCAAATAGGCAACAGACGCATGTGTTTCAAACTCCTTAACAAAGCAGCTGTTGTTCGCGCTGATGTGAAGAAAGGCTGGCTAAGGAATCCTATGATTCGCTTTGCAATGTATATTCAGTTCAACAATTATTAATGACGAACAGATAGAACTTTCGCCAGTTTAAAGACCAAAATGTATTTATGCTCACCTTCATTAGCAACTATCCCTTCTATTGACACTTAGACATGATGGTATAAACCAAACGAAGAACCATGGGTTTGCAAAACGGGAAAAGACATATGTTTTCTTCTCATTTATAAAAAAGAAGCTGATGACACCGACACTTTATCCCACAATCAATTTTTTTCATAAATGTAACGGTTGAAAAGTCTTCGAATTTTAAATTTTTTTTATCTGCGTGGGTCAATTACGATTGGTGGGCTTTGTTTTGACGGAACTTGTGACACGTGATGTCTGAAGTCCGACTTGCATCCGGCCGGAGAAAGAAAAATTTAATCTCTTACGTGTAAGGTTCGAAAAATATCACACATGTACAACATCTTTGTCACAACCTACAGATACTTTCCGCTTGCTTCACACTATGCTTATTCCTCAAAGGTCGAAAATAGACATCATATTTACTTTGTGTATATGAGAAAGTTCATTTACCCCACTTGCAAAAATTCCTGACAAAGTCTGCCATTTTCAGACGAAACGCCTTGGAGAATAAATCGTCTTTCGTTCAGTCAGTTGGTGTAGTGCTGCTCGCGCTAGTTTATCATTTCAGTAAAAAAAATATATGTTTAAAAATTACATTAGCCAAGGGGCCAGGACTATTTCACGGGTAATTTTAAATTTTTTTAGAAATTCCAGAAACTTAGATTTTTGGCATATGCTCGAACTTCTTGCACTCAAAGATCTCATGATTTTTCATAAACAAAATCATGTCACAGTCGCTGATAGTTTTCAGGAGCTCGCCATAACTCTACATCTTCAAATTGTTCCAAGAGATGATATCTTGTTGATTAACTCAGTGAACAGAACAGGACTTTGGCCGAGAACAGATATATATATATACATTGTCGAGCCTCTTGAAGGTCTATCTCGTTTAGGGAAACATCATCTATTGTAATGACGCCTTGGGTGTCTGGCATGCGAACAAGAGCTGCCACAAAAGATGACTCAGAGCAACGATGATAATTTGCAAAGGTGAAGGTGTGATCAGTTTGGTCAAGTTTAAAACAGGCAATAAGTTTGGACCTTTCAATGCCCCGAAATACGCGAAGTAACGGTAAACTTAAGGCCAGTGTAGGAGAAACTTCGCAAGACTTCCAAAAGTTCCCAAGTATTTTTTGCTTCAAACTTTGTTATACTGTGGCAAAGATCGCTTCTTGATCGCAGTTAGTCGTGAGCCGCAATTGAATTGATTTCAAATGACCGTTCCACCAAAATAATGAATTGAGGTAAATGATTTCCTAAAGGCCGAAGAGTCTTGCTGATGTTAAATCCTTCTCGTCATGTATTTCCCGCAAGATTCATTTACGACAGAAAGTCCGACAGTATTGTCTAAATTTGTGTCAATATAGTCCTTAATTACTAGAATGTCCATTGAAATTACAGCGATTACTTATCATCCCTCAGGGTGGTATAATAAGATTCAATGACCCGTGATTATCACTTAAAAAATCCGATAATTTGCTCTGCATATTCCATCGAAATTTTTTTAAACATCACGCTGAACAGGAAATCAAGATGTGTTCTAAAAAACTGACTTTTCTTTTGGACTCTTGAAAGTGTTGGTGATATAAATTGTAAAATTTCAGCAAGGTATAACGTCAGGTAGGGTTAAACAAACACAGCAGAATGTCTTTCTTCAAGAGCCGTGACATTCATCACTGATGATAGTCAAAAGCAAGGCAATAAGGGTTTTGTTACCAGAAACAGACTTTTAAAACCTTAAGAACTTTTATGAATTCCAGGTGGTTCGAGCGACTTATCTTCATCACTAGTCAGCAAAAGCATCATGATCTCTGTTCAAACCTAACTTTGGCCAGCCGGGAAACTCGAGCGAGGCCGAAAAAGAAAAAAAAAACGTTGCTAATCAGCTCTGAGAGCTTCCGTTATGTAAAATTGAACGTAAGCGGCGACCTCAATGTTCCAGAACGTATAATTTAAGACATTAAAGGGCCATTCTACGGAATATCTTCACGTCTTAATGGGTATTTTTTCATCGATCTTTACCTCCAGCACTACATATCCATTGTGGGTTGTGTGTGCTTTTAATGGCAGGAAATGGAGCTACGTTATTGGTATAACGTAGCTCCGGCATTTCCTGCCTTTAAAAGCACACACAACCCACAATTCCTCTATTCGCTCCGACGAAGGGCTAACGCTCGAAACGTCAACTTTTGTAATCGTTACGGTGGCCAATTTACCATTTCAACTTTGTTGATATATCCAAAATATTTCCCTACATATGTATTGCTTCTCTTTAAATCGATGACCGTCCACCGGTAGCAAAATGCATTAAAAGCTCAGGACAAAGCCTAACTGACTGAATAAGGCTACAAGAAAAACAGCCTCAACTGCATGTAGGTAAAATAAATCCTTTGTGAGTAAATCTGCAAGCCATAGCGGTTCATTATTAGGAACAACAACACAAGTTTTCAAGCGGGCTTCTATCACAGAGCGCATTCGTTACCCGGACGCTTCTTATGACACAACACTAAACTACACCTAGACTAACGGTAAGAGATCAGTGGACTTATGTTCTTTTGAGTGTATATATTTCAACCTTAATAACTCGCAAATGTTTTAATATGGTTGATGTTAAGTGGTCTATTATCCTCAAGAGTTTTCGAATGAACAGCCAGGTTCACCCATCACAGGATAACAATAGTCTACTTATTGAATTCACAAACCATCATTTTAAATCGATGTAGAACTGTATGATGTATTGGTTTTAGACTATGTTCACAATCAGACTTTCCTCTTCGCAACGGTTTTCCAAACCAACAAAGTCATTCCTCGGGAATAACGAACCAATATCTAAACAAGCTCTGATTTCCTTTTTCAGAAGCTTTCAAATCGTCATTTTGAGGGGTATATTTTTTTCAATGCACAAACTAACTACTTCTTAAGAGCAAATGTGGCCAAAAATCGTACATTTTCAAAATATTGTGGCAACAGCCAAAAAATCGATTCGGCTCATATTG